CCCTTTCCTTCTGTGCCTCCCCTGATGGTTTCTACCTTTCTTCCAAACCCTTTAGCATTAGTTTGACTCAGAAATTAGTTCTTTGTTTTTTCCCCCACAGTTTACATTAGCATTCACTCTTGATGTTATGCATTCTATGGGTTTTGACATATGCATGATGACATGCAGCCACCAAAAAAGCCCTAAAAGTCCCTTGTGCTCCATCTATTCCTCCCTCCCTCCCTCCCTCTCCCCAAACCCCTGGGAACCAAGATCTTTTTATTGTTTCTGTAGCTGTGCCTTTTCCAGAATGTCATTTCATTGGAATCGTACAGTTTTGTAGCCTTTTCAGACTGGCTTCTTTCATTTAGTAATACGTCTTTTAAGTTTCTTTCATGTCTTTCACGGCTTGAGTTTTTTTTTTTTATAGCACATACATTTTTAAATTTACATTTATGTACTTTATAGAGTACTTTCTTGCCAACTGTCTCCTCTGACATTTGCCACAACCCAGCCAGACAAGTAGGGCAGGACAGTATAAAACCAACCAGCTTGCTACAAGTACCTGACGTGAGCTGAACACCATGCCATGTGCTGGCAGGGGACATATATCTGGGCTTTAATCATCTGTGATTCTCAGTGCCTGGAACACAGAAATGCTTGGTGAATTCAGCTGGGTGTCAGAGCAGAAAATGTGCCCAAAGAAATGCAATTTAAATGAACAATTTCATGAGATTTACTATTGTCAAGTCCTGACCTGAAGTTGCTCCCAGTACAGTCCTCTGGTGTGCCCTGGCAGATGGAAAAATCTGCCTCCATTGGTCTGTTTCTCTAGGCTCTGCTGTCTGGGTCAACCCTCCCCCTTGTAAAGCATCCTGAGGTCACAGTCTATTGTGTTACTCTTAACATCCCGTTTGAGACATTTCTTTTTAGTATTTAGAACCAGAAAATATCTTTCGTGTAGAGTTGATCTCTCCCTTCTATCACCTAACAGGGATAAAATGATCTCTTTGTATTTCCCCTTTTCCTCTGGCTGCCAGGAAGCTCAGAGACAAGTAATAGTATTATAGTAGGAGTCAGAGTGGAATATTTCCTTTCCACCCCCCCCCATGTATGTGGCTCCTTCAGCTGAAACTTTCTTGGGTTCTTTGTGGGAAGAGCAGGTATAAATAAACATTTATGTAATAAGCCCTGAGGAGATGGCTGGGAAAGGATCCAGGTTTAAGGGCAAAAGGCTTGGGTAAATCCTTTACCCTCTCTGAGCCTCAGGCTCCTCCTTGGCAGCCTGGGCTGAGCGGCCGTGCTGCAGCTCTTGGACAGAGGCAGCTCTCTGTGAGGAAGGCTGGCCGCTGCCCAGGCCTCGGGGGGGGCAGGTCACAGCCAACATCCTCCCTGCCAAGGCTGTGACACTCATAACCTTGAATGCATTCACACTTGAGACCCAGAATGGCCAAAATTTTTAAAGAGGAGTCAGAAAAAGAGATTTTCATGTGAAATCTCCTGACTTGTAAATATTGCCAATTAATTTGCACTTTTTTGAAACACTAGGTTGGACAAATGAAACTTGGCTGCAGGCCAGCTCTAGTCTGAAGCCTTCGCTGGCTCGGCCAGTTGAGCCTAATACGTCTCCAGTAGAGACTGTCTGGTGTGTTCAGGCTAGGGGTAGGGGAGAAGTTTACATCATCTCTTCTGAACCCTGCCTTCCTTCCACAACATCCCAAGAGAACTGACAGAGGGAATCAGAGTCAGGTTCCGAGATGACCTGAGCCCAGATCATGTTGACTGGTCCAGATGGACCCTGACCCAAGCTGGACCGTACACAGGACTCTGCCCTAGCCGTGGGTGAAGGATTTTAAATGGGCACCTGACCTAGGCTGAGCAATGAATCCCTCCCCGGAGATATTTGTGCTTGCAGCCAGAGAGAGGAACAGGTACCTCTGTCTCCAGTGGCTGGAGTGGTAAGACGTAAGACCTAAAACTCGCCAGCAGCTGGCGCTACATTTTCCATGATGGGAAAGGGGATGGCCAAAGAAGCGGGTGCACAGAAGCAGGAATAAAAAATGGTTTGAGAAAGAATCCTGGTTCTAGTTGTCCTCAGTCCCTGCTACTTTCCTGTCCTCCAGGGCCAAAACACCCAACGTCTTCGTGGCAACTACCCCGTCTTACCCAGCTAATCGAGACAGGGTTTCTGTCCCTTGCAATCATGGGTCCTAACTCACATATGTGGCTTCTGCTTGGGCCCTTTCCAATTTTCTGATCAACGGGCAGCGCTGAGCTCCTGGTCCTGGCCTCCCAGCTCTCTTCCTCTCACCTCACACCTCTACTTACTTAGCTTAGCACTGAAATCCAGAGCCTCAGAATGTAAGTTTATCCCCTTAGGGAAGGGAGCTCAGACTCTATGGGGGCTGGCACTGCCAGAGGGACTGAGGCAGTGAAGGACTGGCTACTCAGTGCGGGGCTGCTTTCCCCCCGTTCTTGTGCAGGGTGCTCTGAAAGGAACTGAAATTGTCCCACCCTCCAATAGGTCCTTAGAGACCCCCAGTCATCTGTCCCCCTACCTCTGCCTCACCCTGCCTGCCCAGGCAGCCCGTACTCAGAGCCCCAGCTCACTCCTCTCCCCACTGGTTTCCTCCTCTGTAAAACAGTGACCTCCATCGCTCATTTTCAGCCCAGCATCCCTTCCCTGCCTTTAGGTAACAGCTGCTAACCACCCCCACCCCTCAGCCCACGTAATCAGCAGAACAGACTCCACCCCTGGACCCCTGGCTCCCACAGTGGGTGCCAGAGCCACCAGGCAGTCAGGGCACTCCATCCCCTGAGCTCATGAGCCCTGGGGGCCGGTGGGAGTTCACCCCCTGAGGTTTTGCTGGAAGAGAATGCAGGCTCTCTCCTGAAATCAAGGCACTAGGGCTCTGTGAGCCTGGGACTACAGGGACCCTTTACACCACGGGGAGAAAATCCACCTGAATGAAGCCCGCAGGGCTGAGCAAGATAGAAGGAAAGATGGAGAGATGGTGTGTCCTGGTGACATCCTTGAGTCCTCAGGTCCAGCCGAGCCTGAGTCCAGAACTGGGCCCTTTTATTGCAGTTGTTTTCAGTTTGGACTCCTGTGCCTGCAGGAGTCCTGGGTGGTAGTGAGGGAAGCCACCTCGTGTGGGAGGGGTGTGGGGAAATCTCTGAGAATTGCAAAATGGTCTGTTGGGTGAGAGGTCGGGGCTGTGAGACTCAGAAACAGGGTGGGGCCTAGTGTGAGGCAAAAGAGGTGCAGAGAATTGAAGGAGGGGCCCCGGTGTGACCCTGAGGGGCTCCTCCTGCCTCATTCTAACTGGGCTCTGCAACACAGCCCCATGCAACTCCCGGATGGGCCCCAGGGGGGAAGAGCAGCCCCAGCCCTTGAGGTGGGAGAAGGCAGCGTTTGCCCTGGCTAACTCCTCAGATGGGGCATGGAGACTGGGTCCTGCGGCCTCGGCAAATCCCTATGAAAATGGAAGGGCAGCTGCCTCCATGTTTCCACTTCAAGGAGGGGGACTTTTTAAATGGACACACAGCCTCCCAGCTCCTCTCTGCCTCCCTTGCAGCTAGGACTAGCCATGTGACTAAGTATTGACCAGTGAGATGTAAGGATTAAGGGGTACAGCCAGCAGGAGTGTCCCTCAGGGAGGCTGGCAGACCCTCCCTCCCTTCCCCCACCCTGCTGCTCAGGATGCAGAAGAGCCCCCTTGGACAGCACCAACCAGGACAACATCCTGGGCACAGCGAGTCAGCCGAGCCAGCCACCGGACCAGCTCTGGACACCCTCCCTACAAACTGTACCATGAGAAAGAAAGAAAATTCTATTTGGCTTAAGGCCCTATTGTTTTTGCCTCTCTGTGCCTGAATTTATATCCTGATTGGTTCTCAACTCCAAGGATTCCAGTTAGCATTTTGGGGAAAAGGGGATGCGTGCTACTGGTTTCCAGTGGGTAGAGCCCAGAGATGCTCAGTGTTCAGCAATGCAAAAGACAGCCTCCCACAGTGAAGGATGAGCAACAGTGCCACTGCTGAGGATCTACTCTACCCGCTTGGAGATTCTGTGTTCCCATCCCTAAAATGGGGAATATTGAGCTATCACGTTTTTTATGAGGACCCAGTGAGATGACAGACACAATCTTAATTTTAGGAAAGGAGGTAGTCCTGCAAAGGTACTCATGAAGTCTTTATTACTGCAGTAAATTAAGATGGAAGCCCCAGAGGAGAGTGAGGCAGGTTGCCAAGCTATGCCCAAAAGGAGGTGGTGGTGCTTGACTGAGGAGGAGGGCTCCAGGGTAGGGTTGGGGGCCCAGGGGGCCTGGCTTGGTGGGAAACTGAGATTGGCCCTGGAGGTGCAGTAGGGACCAGGAGGGGAGGGCAGGGGCTCCTGCCAACTGCAACAGCCTTGGGAAAGGGGAGGGATAGAGAAGTCCAGCAGAGGGGGGGTGGGAATTGCTGCTGGTGGCCCCCACACAGCCCAGAACACGCACCCCATCTTCACCACCTCCCATCCTACCCGGAGCCCCCACTCTTCCTCTCAGACATATATGCATCTCCTCCCCTCTCCCTGTCTGCCAGTGTCCCCAAAGTCTATCACACACGCACTTCCTTCCTCTATTGCCTTGCCCCTTGCAAACTCCACGCACACACTCACCAGTGCCACACCTGGGTCCAGAGTGGTAGGGCTGGGCTGGACTAAGCTGACATTCCTCCAAAGAGGGCCCTTTCCTTGGGTCAGCGTTGAAGCCCACCACGTGAAACTGCAGGGTCAGTGTCATTGGCTGGAGTGGGGAGCCGAGTGTAACTGAGGATCCGATAGGGAAGTGGGAGATCTGGAGACTCAGGACAGGCCGGGGCAGCTGCCCATGACTCCAGGGGGAGAGGCAGGTGTGCTAGGAGGACAAAGGCACTGGGGCCAGTGGGGGTGTCTCCAGAGCTGGGGAGGGCAGGTGTGGGGTGAACTGGCTTGACAGGAGAGCAAGCCCTGGGCCATCAGCAGCCACACCTCAAGGCACCCGGGTGCCCCATCTCTCACAGCCAGGGTCCTCCTGGAGCACCTCTTCCTGGGAGGACTCAGGCTGCAGAGGGATGGACTGGAGGACGAGGGGGTCCTCCTCCCTCTGCCCCTGGACCTCCTGGCTGGGCGGGGATGGAGAGGGAGCCTGGTGCCTGCCCCCTCAACCACTGTCAATTCAGACCTCGGGGCCCCCAAAGGCCAGGTTGTCGCGGACCATCAGCGTCTTGCGGAGGTCACGGTCCACCAGGGGGCGCTGCATGCGCCACTTGTGTGCCTCCTGCAAGCCGGGCTCGAAGTAGTAGATGCAGGCACCGAAGCCCACCAGGATGAGGACAGAGATGACCAGGTAAACAGGCACGAACCAGTCCAGGAAGTGTGGCATCGCGGTGGCCTTGGCTGCTGAGACACGGTTGATGAGAGCCAGCAGAAGTGCCACTTGTCCCACCCGCCCTCCCAGAAGCCTGCATGCAGGCTTCACAGAGGCAGAGGGTCAGAGCATCACTTTACAGATGGGAGAACTGAGACCCAGGAGAGTGGAGAGCTGTGACTCAGCAGCTTGGGCCCCCTGACCAAGCACAGAGCTGCCCCGACCACAGGGGCCCACCCAGCTCCTACTCACCCTTCTGGAAGGAAGCTAGGGCAGCCCTGGCTCAGTCCCTTTCTAGTACGTGAGCCCTCAGGCAAGGTGCCTAACCCCTCTGGGCCTCAGCATTGCCCCTGCAGAAGGGGAAACAAACAGAGCCTTGGGGGATTCAGTGAGGTGACTGATCCCTCAGTAAAGGACAGCTTGGGCGGCACCTCGTGCCACTTGCCAGGTGCCTCACAGATGAGTGGCTCTCTGGCTACCCACACATCCTGGCCAGGTGTGGCTTGGTGAAAGCCTGGTGAACAAACATCTATCCCCAGGGGACCTGATTGAAATCAGTAGTGTCTGCACCAGCTCCCGAATTCAGGCCCATGCCCAATTTGTAACCATAAGAGTATGGACACAGGTTCCAGACCAGAAAGACCTGGATCTTGATTTCCACATCTGTAGAATGGGAGTGAAAATCGTACCTAGGTCAGAGGGCTATTGTGACCGTCAAAACAGTTAGACCGTCAAAAGAGTTAATTTACACAAAATGCTTAGAACCAGTGCCTTGTGCTTATTAAGTGCTACATAGTAGTTTGTTCTTATTCTCTGAGCTTCAGTTTCCTTATCTGTGAAATAAGCATAGAAGTAGGACCCACTTCTTAAGGTCTTTGTGGATGTTTAACAAGACAATGCTCAAACAGCATTTAGCATCATGCTGCCTGCTGCAGAATCAGCACTCAATGAATAGTATCAGCTATTGCTATTCCCAGTGAGCCAGGAATGGGGAAAAACGGGAAGGTGGACGCTAGCAGGATGAAGGTGCTTCACAAACAGCCAGACTCCCTAGAATGGCCCAAAGATGCCCACATCTGATCTCTGCCGACCTTCCCAGCCTCCTCTCCCACACTACGTGCCATCGTCTGGAATTGCTTGTCAGTCCCTTAGGTGCACCTGCATGTTACACAGACTCCATCTTTGAAAATGCTTTTATTTTCCTTGGAATGTCCTTTGCATTCGTGTTCATGTGGCAAACTCCTATTCATACTTCAAAAGCCACATCACAGATTATCCTCCAGAAATGGGATGAAGCAGGACCCATTTAACCCACCCTCAAACCCTTCCTGAGGGTGAGGAGCCCCACCTCTGCTTGCCAGGCAGGGAGAGCACTGTCAGAATGCAGTCACTAACCTTACAACAGGCCTATGGCATAGGTGTTACTGTCCACATTTTACAGATGAAGAAACTGAGGCCCAGATAGGTTCACTAATTTGCCCTGAGTTACCCAACTGGGAAGTGACAGAGCTGGACCCCAACCCCTGAGTGATGTCCTGAGATTTAATGGGGAAAGATTCCTGAACAGAATGAAATAAGCAGAGGTTCACTATGGCTTCCAGGGAGGGAAGAAAGGGGATGAATGAAATGACCTCTGGCGTAGACTGAAGAGAGATCCCAGCTTCTTAGACCTCTGTCTCCAAACTCCAACCCTCTCTACTTCCAGGTGGGTCTGCGAGGTAGGCTATGACCCCAGGGGAGGGAGAGATGCTGCTCTCACGCCCTGCATCCATCGGGAGCTCCTCCCCCACTCGCCACTTCGGAAGCACAGACAATGTCTCAAGGTGCCCTATTCTATTCATGGAAGAGAAAATTTAAGAGTGTGTCAATGGCCCAAAGTTAGGGTTAGAGTGGTGCCCTCTTAAGCATCTGCCTTTCTGGAGAGCCGAAGAGAGGGTTCAGAATGGCTTGGTGCTGCCTGGCTTAGAGGAAGGTGGGGAAGGGGGCCTACAAGCAGGAAGGCTGCTCCAAACTAGCCTGAGTGAGGCCATGTGACTCATACCCTCTCCTCTGGCCCCACCCAGGACCCCAGCCTCCTTTAACTTAAATGTGAGAATGGGGGACTTGGGCAGAGCAGAAGCCATTTCAACGGCAATGCTCTGGGTCTGTGGAGCAGAGTTCAGGGTCTCCCAACCCCGCCAGCCCTATGAAGAAAATCCCAGGCATTCAGTCTGGGCAACTGAGAACCCCAGACCTTCTCCTGGATTCTCAGAGGACTGGCCTAGCTGAAGCGTAGCACTCACTGGCCTTCTGTGTGACCTTGGACCACTCTCACCCTCTGAACTTCAAGGGTTCCTTGCACAGTGACGGGGTGGGAGTGGGGTTACCAGATCATCTATAAGGAAGTTGCTAGCCCTCATTCCAGATGATGTCCCATCTAGGGCAGTGTGAAGGTTGCAGAGCCCCTTTCCCTGCCTCCCAAGCCACTGGCACCACTCGATCCCCCACCCAACCCCATGTGCCAGCAGACCCACCTCAAGCCCTGCAGATGCCTGTTCCGGGAGCTCTGGACTGACTGCACCGCCTCGGCCTAAGCAGCTCAGCGTCAGCCCGTGGACTCAGTCGCAGCTGCTGTCCCCACAGATTCTGCCATCTGCAGCCTCCCTGGGTGGTGGAAGCCAAGAAAGAGTGAGGCCAAAGCCCCTCCACGAAAGACAGTGTTTCTCAAGCCCAAGGGCTCTGACTGGGCCAGGAAGGGGCAGCCCTGGGTTGGCTCCGGCAGCCTGGTTCCTCTCACTGCCCATCAAAGACCCTTCCCTCTGCCCCTCACCCTCAGGATGGCAGGAGGTGGGACCTGCCTCAGCCAATCAGCAGCCTGGCAGAGCCAGGGCTTTCTCCTCCGTTGCCCTGGCAACCAGCCTTCTCTTCTGCATCCCTCGCACTTTGCACTTGGTACAGAGATGATGAGATGACGGGCAGGGCAGGGTTGGGGAAATTCAGGGAGGGATGGGAACCTCGCAGCAGGCTGCTGGGCCCCATGGCTAGTGGGCCTAGAGAGGAAGTGGCCTTGACCAAGATAACTGTGAGGGTTTGGAGCCTCGTCATTTGAGGGTAGAGAGAGTGGGGTCCCTGTCATGTGGGTAGGGACACAGAAGCAGTGACCAGTAGAGCCAGTGAGGGTCATATGTTATAGAGGGAAGAGCCTAGACTGATACTGAGTCTGGATGCTTGGTCCAATGTGGCATTTGTCACAGGCCAGACACTGCTCTCAGTGCTTTATTTATATTAACCCATTGATTGGTCATCCAAGG